GAAAACTGGCTTTTTTTCAAAGCACACGGAGCTACAGTGCTCCTTTAATGAAAAGACCCATTATCAGACTGTTTTTTTTTTTCCAAAAGCACTTTTACAAAAAAGTTTACCAAACACTCTGCTGATTTATTTCACAGCCGCTTATTCTCACAACAGTTTTTTTTTCAAAGCACAACAATACCAAACCAGCCCTAAATCTAAGCATAACTTGTAGCCAAAACCATAAAACTTAAAACAACTAAAACTCTAGTTTAACTCATAACTTTAGATTATTCTCAATTGATTTGAAAGAATAATATATTGAGGAGCTGGAAGAAGACTCCAAGGCCTCACCAGATGACGACAAAAAAACACTTTGTTAATCCATGTGATTGACTGGATAACACCCTCCCAAGACCGCTATTAATCAACCAATCATTGTTTAAGAGAGCTTGTTACTAATATTTTGGTCTCTCTAGTATTACTTTATTTTAATTAACTTTAACTACAATTAGTCAATTACAATTTTTTTTTTGTCAATTAGTCAATTACCATAGTGATTGTGTTCATGCATATATCGTTTGGGAAATTAGATGTACAAACCAACCGGCGTGCATTCCATATCACAAGGCACGCATTTGCGTATCCCCTTGCATTGCGCCTTAATTTGTTCCAATTGCTTAATTAATATCACTTAATTAAAGATTAAGTTAATAGAGTTGCACGAAATTACTCATTGTTAATTGGTGAAGTACCTCTGAAACTCTGGGTTGTTTTATAGAATAATGAATAAATTTGGTTTTACACGCAATCCACATATCTAATAGTCATTTGAGGCTTTCATATTCTTGATGGTTTGATGAACAGCCAAATTTAATTTTTGATGTCTTAATTTCTGACTGTACTTATGTTTAAATGAATAAAGCCGCGCTTTCGTTTTAACTAAAAAATAAATAAATAAATCATTCGAGGCTTAATTAGATGGTGGTTTAGTAGTTCATTAATCTCAGTTTCGTCTAATTCTCTTAGTTTTCTTTACGTACAATGTTACTAGACAACTTCATAAATTAATCGCAAGTTGTCTCTTCATTGTCTTTTTTGTAAAAGAAGGGCGATTTAAACAACACCAATTAATTTATATTTAAACTCAATTTGGATCGAACCTAAATTGAGAAGTATTATCCTAACGAAGGAATATTAAGAAGGATAATGCTTGTGGCTCCTCCATGAGGGACTTATTTGTCCATCACTTACAATTAATGAACTTTTTGGACATCTTGGAAACATTCATTCTCTTTATCATCATTTAAATATCATATATGCAAAAAAATATTCAACTTTGAGATCTTTTAACCATTCATATGCATAAAATAATAGACGGTTCATCATGAGCTACGTGTTACCAAAACAGTTGATTGATTTAACACATATGGATGACTAAACAATCTTCAAATTGAATGATTTTTGCATGTATGATCTTTTGATAATGATAAAGAGAGTGAACGGTTTGAATTATGATGTTTGGATAGTAAATGTTTGTTGGTCGTAAGGGATTTTGGAGGGGGGAAGACCCCCGTAGGGGACACAAGCATTTCTTAATAATGTTGAGGCCTTGGTTGGATTTTGTAGTTTGGAGTTTGGCTAAGTAGCCATAGATATGTCTCTTAAAACAAGAGGTCTTAGTTAAATTCCCCTCCGATCCTTGAACATAATGCTTGGATTAATTCCTCTTTATGTGTAAGAGATCATTGGATATACAATTTTTTTTTTTTTGTAGTTAAGTGAGGGTGCAGTGCACCATTATTAATATTCCTCTAGGTTTGAGACATTGAATTTGTAGCTACTTTACAGGCTCAAATTGCCAACTTTCTCACCTAGAAACGTCATCCAATTAACCTTTTCATTACTGTTTCCAGAAACATGATGGGAGCAGTGTTCTCCACTATGTCACTGCAGATGATCAGGAAATCCCTTCCTTTCAAAACTCTTATCCACTAACAATTCAAGTAGTAGCCTTATTATTCTTTATGTCCCAGTTTTTCTGAACGTTGCATGCAGGCATACAAGGTCACTGTCTCTGTCGAGTTTCAACTTTCAACCAGCCTCTCTCACATCTAATATGTACTAGTAGTGCTTGTGCTTTTCCCCACCGTTGTTTGATAATTCAGCAGACACAAAAGCTAAAGCCTCGATCAAATACTGGTTTGGTACTAAGGTGCTTTTGAAAAAAACGGGTATAAAAAAAAGCTGAGAGCTGTTTTGTGTTTAGTAAACTTTCAACTTCAGTTTTTTTTTTCTTTACAGTTTTAGGTGAAAAAAAAACAAAAAACAGAAGCAGCAAAAGCTAGCTTTTAAAAATTGGCTTTTTTTGCTTCCACAGCTTATGCGCAACACTAATTTACAAGAGGCGTTGAGTCCTTTAATGAAACTTTCAAATACCCAAAATGGCCTTGAACAATTAAATAAAGTACACATAATACCAACTGGAAGACGTTGCCGACTTCAATTGGGAGATCGTCCTCGTCGACTCTGCCACAACGCTGTTCACTCCCAGCTTCAACAATCACTGTTATTGACCTTGGATTCCATACCCTACGACATCGTTTTTGTCTTTGTCCTTTCACCCATCTCTTGTTTGTCCTCTTTCACTCCCACGCCGACAAAATCGCGCCTAGAAACACTACCATCTTTTTTGGCGATAACCAGACTCGGATTCATATTCTATTTTGGCATCGCGGACTTGCCCAGATTTCTCAGATTGCACCGCTTACAAGAGACTGATCTTCGTATTTTTGCAAATTAGGAGAGCCCATATTGCCCAGACGGAGAAAATGCAGTGAGACAGGTGAGAGAGATTGAGGAACAACCCATCAAAGACGGCATAGTCACTGCGTTGGCGCCTTCGGAATCCATGGAGATGAAAATAAAAAAGAAGAAGATGGAGCAGAAAAAAAAACTAAGAAAATTGGGGTAGTGTGGGGGAGACTTCTAGAGAGATTTTGTTTGGTTTTTGGAAAAGTCTAGCCAATGCAGATGGAGAAAATAAAGGGGGAAGACTTTAGAGAGAGTATTAATAAATAAAATTATTATTCTTTATTTTTTGTCAAATATAAATAAAATTATTCTTATTTACATTTAATATCATACTCATTTTTGTCATTTGACATAGTTACATCAGCTTTATATAAAAGTTTATCAAATACCTTTACACTTAAAAGCACTTTTATAAAAAAAAAAATTACCAAACACTTAACTGCTTTATTTTACAGTTGTTTATTCTCACAGTACAACAATATCAAATTAGACCTAAGTGGGCATCTGTTGACTAGCATATCACTCACCAATTTTCCCTTCTAAAAGTGTCAGCAGGATACCGAGGTAATTAGATTAAGTACGGAAATGACAACAACAGGCCCCTATAGCTCAGTGGTAGAGCGTCAGTCTTGTAAACTGAAGGTCTGTAGTTCGATCCTGCATGGGGGCATTTTTTATTATTTTCATTTGTTTCTGTCTTGCTTGAGTTCCCGACTCAGTCGCGCAACTGAAGCGCAGCTCACGCAAATGCGAGGTTTTGTGTGCAGGATGAGTATAGGGGAGTTTTCCCACTTCTTTGTGGAAGCTGACCTGACCTTTTGATGAAAATATTTTTCAGTGTGATCGGTATACGAAGTGATACATTACGTGTTATTATACAAATAGTAAGATATATGTGCTTAAAAGTTAATAACTTAAAAAATAAAATTTCCTACCACTTTTATTAAAATAAGTGGTGTACCATTTGTGTTTCCGTCACAATGAAATTTTTTTTCATTTTGATGAGATGGTCAGGCTACCCTATTGGATATTTTCTTCCTCGCCTGGGTGGCATAGGTCGGGTAGGCTATTCAAACCTCCAATGGTTTTTCACTTCTCCATACATTTTAAAGGAATTTGTATATTCTCCCGCACTTTTAAATGAGAAATTTGAAGTTCGAATTCACATATGTAGAGTTTGATAGCAATTATTTGACCGCCCCTAAATATATGGTTGTATAAAAAGGGATGCGTGTAGTGAACAAATTGTGGGTCCGTTTCCTTAAAATTTATGGCCTAATCCCGCAAACTCGAGCCCATCCCAGCCAAGTCCCATAATTAAGCCCAGACCCACAACAGAGCCTCCATCCACGACCCCAATGGCATTTTCGATATATACCACAAAAACAAAGGGGTTGTGTTGGACGTCCAATCCGCCGCGTTCTTCTATAAAATCCCGCCCCAGCGTTCTTCAACCCTAACGCCGCTGCTTCTTCCTGTTTACATTTGCGCTTTGATTTCGATTTGTCTATATTGATTAGGGGTTTTATGCATTAGGGTTCAGGGTTTGTGGGTCGCTTCTGATAGGCGTTACGTTCATCAGCTGGTTTATAATTCCAGAAGGACGTGTCAACGGAAGCGTAAATCAGCTTCGATTTCCATCCCAAATTCATCAAAAAAAGCAGCTACGCATTTTTCGAAATGGTCGTAGACTGCTGTCTGGTTTTGGGCCGGAGTCGAGACATTGTCTTACAAATCACTGTCGGTGTTTTTGCTTTTTGTAGCTTAATTTTGTCGGGGGAGGTGGTTGTTGTTGCTTCATATGGTGAACGCCCTGTAAATTTCGATTGGATTGGGGATGTTCTAGTTTCCGAAGCATAGATTAAAATTACGAATTGCCAGTATTAAACAGCACCGTGTCTGCTTCTTGCTTTTGCACTGTGTTACCTGTCTCCTGGAACATTTATTTATTTATTTATAATTTTGTTAATTTTTTGAAATAATTTTTTTATGAAATTTGAAAATAATTGAGCAATGACGATGAATCAAACCCTTGGCTGTAGTTCTGATCTGGTAATTAGTAGAACCAGAAGCTGATTATTAAGGGATGTCTCTGAGCTCACTTTAATCCTTCATTTTTGTTTTAAGGTTAGCAACTTGCGCTTTTGATTTTAATATATCTGTTGAAGTGGAATGGTCGGACAAGAAACGTGATGCCGGACTCAAGATTTTTCCTCCAAATTGGGCTTATGATGAAATTTTTTAATATCTTAGCGGATTTCGGTGAGACCTTAGTGCCAATGATCTGAATGTTACACACACTGAAGCCCCTAAGTTTGTATTTTTTTGGTAATCGCTCTGTTCATTTGATTTAACCGAAAATAAAACGGGAGTGTGATAACCGAAGATAAAAGTTGGAAGTGGAAGATACAAATATTGTACAGCAACACGCACTACATTCACACAAATAAGGCCCCCTGATAACCATGGATGGTACCGGTACCAAGGTAGCAGCAGCATATAAATATGTAAACGAATGTATGTAGAAATCAAACTGGTGCCTTTTGAGCTCAAGCTCAATCGAGGCAGCAGCGGAACATGGAGAACCTCTCCATGACACGGCCGCACTCAGCGCACGCCACCGTCTCGGGCATGATTCCGGTTGCGGGCAAAATAAGACTGGTGCAGTGGTGTGGAGCTTGTCTGTGCACCCCTTCTAGGTGTTCATTCAGGGCCGGCGTGAACCCTACTTCAGATGACCTATTTTTCCAGTCGTTAAACTCGCTCAAGCTTTTCAACATGTGCTCTCCATTTGCCTTGGACATGGCAGCGGAGCCTAGGCTGATCACTGCCCATCCGCGGTCGCTCGAGCCAAAGCTCAGCAGCGATATGATCCCCTGCATCATAGGATCGCTTTTCAAAGGATCAGTTCGGGATTGGGTTTTGCCTTGCTCACTTAGAAGTTGTCCTTTGGATTGCCACATGCTCTCGAGACGAATCCAGAAGAACCAAATGAGGTTCCAGTCAAGGGTGTGGCTTAGCTTCTCAGCTTGGATGATTTTTATGATGTTATTCATTACGTTCTCCTTAGCCTTGCTCCGCCCCACATATAGCATTTCCAACTGAATGCCGGCGTCACTAGCCACGTTTCTCGCAGCCTTTGTGAACTTTCGGATCCACTCGATGTCTTCTCCGCCATACAAGCAAATGTACTTCCCCTCCGTAATCTGAAATTCATGCAAAAATCACATATTCAAGAATCCGGATTGCACATTTCTAGAAGCAGCATTTTAAACAATGATTCATGTTCACAGTCTAGCAACATAAGATGCAAATACGATAGAATAGTATGTACCCAAGTAGTTAAGTTTGGATGGATGGCATCAGCCAAAAGCTCGATCCTCCAGGTTTCTTCTTCCCAAAGCAATCTCTCTCTCTGGCTAGTGAAGGGGAAGGCAATGCTCCCCCAAATGCACATCATGTGAACAGCATTCTGGTGCACAATTTTGCCTTGAGGATCCATCACAACAAGCAGAGGCTTCTTGGCAAAATTCCACTTCCTCGGGTCCCTGATGTACCTGACCACAATCGGAGACACTACAGAAGGGTGGAACACGGTGTACCATTGCATGCTATTTCTTAGACTCTCGAATTGCTGGTACTTGACTTCAGTCCATTCATCCGTAATTGGAACCCACACAACCTCGTATTGGCTCTCCGGCCTTGTAGGGTTGTGTCCCTTTTCCAAGTACATTTGTTGGACAATTGTGTTCTCATTTTCGTGGACAACGTTTAGGTCTGTGATGAACAGAATCACTACTTTCCTCTTTAGCACATCAATGTCAACCTGTGTATCAGAAAGTTTTGAATTAATTGGGGAACAGAGTCGCAGACATTCAAAACATAGTCGCTCCGAGAAGAGAAAAGAATGTGAGGTTTTTAAAGCCAACCCTCTTCTTGTTGTAGCCATCATATAGTGCAGGCTGATCATCCTTGTAAAACAAAACCCTCAGAGGCTTCGAGTTATCCATGTGCGGTGTTTCCAAGATGCGCGCAATTGCGTTGAAAGCTTCCTCTTCTTTGTTCTTCTCTGCATCACATAATCAATTATTTAGTTATACATAAACAAGTTAAACAGGACAGGCCTAATAAGTATTAGTACTCTATATCCTTTTTAGGTTAAGACGCACGGATGAGTTGATATAATCCGTCGAGGATCTCTTCAAGGTGTTTGAATATGTTTTCGAGCTTATGGGCCAGTGATGATAGTTCCCACGCCTCTGTCATGTACCTGATACAACACATAGTCATTTGAGACGGTACAAATAGTGTTGTTCTCGAAAAAATTAGAGCATACCACAAAACAACTTACTCTGGCTCGGAGCTTGTGATTCCCACAAGTTGTGATGCGGCAACTACAATAGCCCGAATTGTCCAGTAAACAGCTGTGGGGATCTGAGCAGTGGCAGCTGTAGCTTTGATTTCGGGGCTCAAATGGGGATCGTTGTGAATCTCCTGTAAGCGAACAATGGTCTTGGTCACTTTGAAAATGGCCCCAACCAGATTGTTGTATGCATCGAACTTCGGTTTCAAAATAGTCCCTGCACGTTCCAAGATCTCTTGCAGTTGCTTAAGCTGTCCAACCGCTCTGGCGAGTGGGTTGGTGGTGTATTGCTGAGACACGAGCCAAAACTCGCCATCTTTGATCGCAAATGCTCCCAAGGCAAGCACCGCCTTTTCATCCCAATCGTAGTGTTGCACAATGTCTAGTATGTCCATTGTTGTCTTGTTTGCATCTTCCCCTTGCGCAAATGTGCACATTAACTGTTTCCCATCAATCAACAAAATTGGCATGTTCGTATTGTTAGACTGTCAATTTAAATCGCACTTATGAATAGTGTTGCGTTGCAATTGGAAAATAAGTATATATGTAGAGGCAAACCGCGGAGTGAATTGCATTGAACACGCTGTGTGGAACATCAACGCTGTCGTGGAGGGTACTCAGGTTAGCATGGAGAGCCTTCTCATGCTCCGCGTGTGTAGCTGCCGGCGCTAATGCTCCCTAATTCACACACAAACAACATCGAAACAACATAATCGATCAGCAACATAGTAACGAAACTAAATTAGCAGCAGCAACAGATTCTATGTACATAATTAAGCGACAAAATTAGGCATGGACGGACCGGGACTAGAATGCCATCATGAATGTCAGGTTTGGTGACGCGCGAAAGAATGGCCTCAATGGTTTGAAGAATTTGCGTGACTGCAAGAGGAGGCACTTCGTAGGGATGGTCATGAGACTTATCGGTAAGCATAATTTGGTTGACCAATGCACTGTCATCTGCTGTTGTCGAAAATTGACGATGTCCGTCACGCCCTTGTTTAAGCAGAGGAGGGCGATTATGACCGGCTCCTCTGCTTGTTGGGTTGACAGCCTTATTGTAAGGTACCAGGGCCATTATCGAAGGTCGGGCTTTCTAAGCTATGAGGGGATGGAAGAATAGCGGCAATGACTTCACTGTGTTGGTTGCAGTTGGTATTAGCTAACTAGGATTTATATAGTAATTACATGGTGTATATAAAATGGAAAAATAAAAAATAAAACAGTGTAAAGCTGCTACCTTGCTTGCATTAGGGTTTAAACTAAAAAGAGTTAACATTAAGGTTCAAATATTCTTACTCCAGGAATATCTTTTTATCTACTGATGTCATGATGCACTGTCACCATTCTATATCTTCTTTCACCTTTACAAAATGTTATTGTTGCACTCAGAGTTTGCATCAAGTTTCAAATATTTATTTGAAAACGCTGATAAATCGTAGAATCCAAACCCAACAGATAAACAATCTCAATTAAAATCTCAGACGAGGAAGGATTTAGTTACTACCAATGTAAAAGAAATAATATACATATCAACAATCTATCACTAATTACATGATACCATCTTTATCTTGTATTTGATCAAATAGCACATCAGGTGTTAGGTTTTATTACAAAAAATTAATGTTAGAATCAATCATTATACATTATACTTTATATTGTCAAATTTCCAATGTAGAGTTCGTACATTCTTCAATGATTAAACAATGATCTCCGGACTCATGAAGCTTGTGTGAAGAATTATAAGCTCTTATTCAGGAGTGATCAAGACATAAGCTTCTGTCCGATAATTGCTTAATTTGTTTACTATTGTCATTTAGGGCTAATTAATCTATAACTTTAAGGGCAGACTATACAAATCTAGGCGGCTAAACTACTGTTCAAGTCAAATAGAACCCAGTAAAGAACCCTAAACTAAATTATTAAGATTATCTCTCTGATAATTCTTTAACGAACGAATTACTTTGGTTCATTAACTACTTTTTAGCCTCCACTTGTCATCATATCCGTATATGTTAATCTTAGCATGCAGCCATGCATGCCGTGAGAGGCAATGCTTCCACCTCTAGTACAAATTAGGAGTGAAAATGACAACAGTAACATCAATTATAATGTTAAACTTATTCACTGATTTGTTCACCAAATAATATGTCAGGATGTGTAAATATTTTATTTGTTAATAACTAATAATGGATCTAGGTTTAAATCAATCAAATATTGTCACATTATTTGGTAAATGAGATCAATATGCTAACAGTACTCTAATAACGTATTAAAATGGGCCCAAATGAAAAATGAATAATTGAAATTTGTTGGTAGCAATAATACTGGATCATAATATGAAAGCACACTGTAGGTGGCACCTATGCACTGCCATAATTTAGGTGTCACATTTATTGTCATACATAATATAGCACTTCGAGTACTAGTAAAAAGCAGCAATAGTAGCTTGCAATCAGGTAAGGAAACTCAACGTATCATAAAAAGCAGACTTGTGATCCGGGGCAACAGAAGCTGATCAATCAGTGCAGCAGCGGAACATGGTGAACCGCTCCATGAGGCGGCCGCATTCAGCGCAGGCCACCGTCTCAGGCATGAGTCCAGTGGCAGGCAATATGAGACTGGTGCAGTGATGTGGAGCTTCTTTATAAACCCCAGTCAAGTACTCATTCAGTGCACGTACAAACCCTATCTCGTCCACCCTTTTATTCCACAAGCTATACTCGCTTAAACTTCTGTGCATGTGCTCCCCATTAGCCTTAGACATCTCCGATGAACCGGCGCCAATCACAGCCCATCCACGGTCACTTGAACCGAAGCTCAGCATCGATATGATCCCCTGCATCACTGGATCATTCTTCATGTTGTCGGTCCTAAGGCGACCAGACCTAATAGCCTCAGACTGCATCTGGTGTCCCTTGGACTGCCACATGCTCTCGAGACGCATCCAGAAGAACCAGATAAGATTCCACTCAAGAGTGTGGCTTAGCTTCTCAGCTTGGATGACGTTCATGATGTTCCTCACCACTTTCTCCTTAGGGTTTCTCTTCCCCACATAAAGCAATTCCAACTGGATCCCAGCTTCCCGAGCCACATTTTTGGCTGACTTTGTGAAATTTCTGATCCAATCTATATCTTCCCCACCATACAAGCAAATGTATTTCCCTTCCGTGATCTGAAACACGTTGTGTCAAAAATTAGTACTCGTAATATAAAGTGATATATTATGCTATCAAACTATAAATATTCTGAAGCGAATATTAAATATTATAAAGTGAATATATATGGATGTACCCAGGTAATTAGGTTCTGATCGATGGAATCTGCCAAAAGCTCGATCCTCCAGGTTTCTTCTTCCCAAAGCAATCTCTCTCTCTGGCTAGTGAAAGGGAAGGCTATGCTTCCCCAAACACACATCATGTGAACAGCATTGGTGTGCACTATTTTGCCTTGAGGGTCCATCACCACAAGCAGAGGCTTCTTGCCATAGTTCCATTTATCCTGCTTCCTCATGTACCTGATGACAGTCTTAGAGACAACCGAAGGATGGAACACTGTGAACCATTCCATGCTCCTTCTAAGTTCCTCGAACTGCTGGTACTTGGCATCGGTCCACGTGTCCACAATTGGAACCCACACAACCTCATACTGGCTCTCCGGCCTGGTTGCGTTCTGCCGTTTTTCCAAGTACATTTGTTGAACAATCATGTACTCGTTTTCGTTGATAAAGTCTATGTCTGAAAGGAACAGTATCACAACCTTCCTCTTCAGCACATCAATGTCAACCTGTTTGACGTATACATTGGGTATGAGGGGGTTAATTGGTTAATTAAACATTGAAATCATAACTTTGACATTAACTTTCTTCCAAGTATGTGCTTAATGCAAGTAAAATGAATGGTTTAATTAAACATCATCAACTAGAGCTTGTTAGAATTCAGTTGATTAAAAATTAAGTACTTGATGCAGTCATCCAGCACTTCTATTTCCTTATTACTTTTTTTAATCAAGGTTAGTTGACCTGATGATATTGAAAATGATCTTGGTTGATCAATTCTATTTGATTACATATATTGTGGGGGATAGAAGAGAAGTGAGATTTCAGAGCGAACCCTCTTCTTGCTGTAGCAATCATAGAGTGCAGGCTGATCATCCTTGTAAAACAAGACCCTCAAAGGCTTGGTGTTGTCAATGTGTGGTGATTCCAATATGTAAGCAATTTCACTTAATTCTTGCTCTTCTTTCTTCGTCTCTGCATCACATCAGACCATTAATCTCTAGCTAGGCATTTGCATAAACATATAGGGTAATTAAGCTAGCTCTACTTGTTAACTAGACTCACTGATGATGTCAAGTAATCTGTTGAGATTCTCCTTGAGGTGGCCGTGTATGGTTTCGAGCTTATGAGCCAAGGAAGATAGTTCCCATGCCTCTGTCACATGCCTAATAGAAGCCAAATAAACGGAAAACATAATGACTTTAACAGCGCGTTTTCTTGCTTGCCAAATAATGTTAATGTTGTCAGATATAAACGAGACACATGCATTCAGAAGAACGACTACTTACTCGGGGCCCATGCCAGTGATCCCCAAAAGCTGCGTTGCAGCAACTACAATACTCCGAATCGTCCAGTAAACAGCTGTGGGGATAAGAGCAGTGGTAGCCGCCGACTCTGCTTCAGTGGTCATGATGGGGTCGTGGTGGAGGTCATGTAGCTGAACAATGCACTTGGTCACATTGAGCACGGCCCTAACCAGATTGTTGTAGGCGTCAAACTTGGGCTTCAAGCTAGTCCCGGCATGTTCCAGTATCTCTTGCACTTGCTTAAGCTGCCCAACCGCTTTGGCGAGAGGGTTGGTGGTGTAAAGGTGAGCCACAAGCCAGTATTCACCATCTTTCACAGCAAAAGCTCCCAAGGCAAGCACAACCTTTTCATCCCAGTCGTAGTGTTGCACAATGTCTAATATGTCCATGGTTGTCTTGTTGGCATCTTCCCCAGACAGCCACGTGCAGAATATCTGTCATATATATGAAGTGCCAAGACAATTAATAGGCCACTTATTTTTTAAGTTCAACTAGAGGACCAAATTATCCATAATGCCGATTGTTTTGCAATGGTGCTAATTATCTATCTCGAGAAAAATGTTTTTTTTTTCATTGATTGAAAATCTAGATTATTAATCAAGTTGATTGTTGTCTGAACGTGTGATACAAGTTCACATTTAATTGTACGCTATAGTATGTATGTTATAAACCTCGCAGGAAATTGCATTAAACAGGCTGGTTGGAACATCGTAGTTGTCAGGGAGACCACTCATGATAGCATGGGAAGCCTTCTCATGCTCCAAAGCATCGGCATGTGCACCCGTCACTAGTGCTCCCTATTTAGACACAAAACAATGTCACGCTATGAGCAACAACATACCGTTTATAAAACTAAATTATTGACGATAACATTTCTACGAAGTGATTTCTTGTGCAATTGTGAGAGCCAAACTTACCGTGACGGTGCTGTGGATGTCAGGTTGGGTGACGCGGGACAGAATCACGTCGACGGTTTGAAGAATGTGCTTCAAAGAAAGGAGAGCGACATCATAGGGACGGGCACGAGACTTGTCACTAGCCAGAATTTGGTTGGTCAGCATACTGTCATCAGAAGTTGAAGAAAAGCGACGCCCATCTTTGGGTAGAGGGCGGTTATAGTAGTCTCCTCCTCTGCGTCCTCCGGCGGTGGGCTTATTGTAATACTGAGCACCTGTTGCCTGGGGTGCATTATAACTCTGAGCACCTGGTGCCTGGGGTGCATTATAACTCTGAGCAGCAGGCACAAGGGCCGGATTGTAATTCTGAGCTGTCAGCATAGGGGCAGGATTGTAATTCTGAGCAGCCGGCAGAGGGGCAGGATTGTAATTCTGAGCAGCCAGCATAGGGGCAGGGTTGTAATTCTGAACAGCTGCAATAGGAGCAGGATTATAATTCTGGGCAGCCGGTGCAGGGGGGTTATTATAACTCTGAGTAGCCGGTACAGGGGGGTTGTTATAACTCTGAGCAGGTGCAGGGGGGTTATTATAACTCTGAGCAGCCGGTATAGGGGGGTTGTTATAACTCTGAGCAGGTGTAGGGGGCTTAGCAATATTCTGAGGAACAAGTGCCATTCCGAAAGGTTGAGGCTGTAAGCTTGCTTGTGAGGGGATGGGTAGGAGAGAAATGATTGCGATGTGTATTGGTTTCAGTTCGAGCCAGTTAGCTAGGGCTTATATAGTTGATGCATGCAATTAAAATGGATAGAAAAGAAGGGCAAAAACAATATGTGGTAGCTGCTACCTTGCTTCCATAAGGGTTTGCTCCAAAAGTGCCAGTTGAGAGAGAGTAAAGACTAATATTTGATATTTTCATTCTTTAGAGACAAGGGCTTGTCTATAAATTTGTCTGGTCGCATTCGAAATCTTTTTTCACCTTCACGAAAGGTTACATGCATGGCAATCCTGATATTCTTACTCTAGGAATATTATTGTCATAAATAGTTTGCCTATGCCGTGAGACACATGATTCACGCATGTTGTACAGTGTTTTGTTGTAACTCGATGAACTGTTATTACTGAATAACTACATGCATTCATCAACACAGATATAACATGTTTGCTTGAAATGATAATCAAAATTATTCTAATTGTTGACTCTCATTGTGTTTAGACTCAGAACCAAAATGTAAACGGGTATGACATTATAAATTGTAATTCATTGTCCAAAAGAACTAGGGATTGTAATGATTTGGCAAGTAAAAAAATCTCATACATGATTGTTTTTTTTAGGAGAATAACTTACGCCACTTAGTACTACGGTCTAGTGATATTCATTTTCACTTGTAAGTGAGAGATCTTATGTTCGATTCTCGCCAAATACGAATTTGAACCACATTATTGCTAGCCCATTATGAGGCTAAACCCACCCCCTCTCCTTAGTGTAAATAATATCACTTGTTCAAAAAAAAAAAAAAAAAACTTACAATTCTAACACCAATGTTGTAGACTATAGTATTTCAAACCAATCATGCAATGTCATGTAAGAAAATTAAAACACTTCAGGGTCCATGTAGGTTTGAAACTTTATCACCTAGCATTTTGTGTGTATGTAAGTTTCTCTCATACTTTAATTCATCTGATACTTTAAGTCATCTGGATCAACATAAAAAAGCAAGATGGTCTTGCTATTCTAGGGCTAGAATTTTCCAATTTGTTAGGTATGATACGAGGTACTAATACTATCATTTATCAATTTTGTTAATTCAGTCGTAGCTAGTAGCATAGATAGCTAGCAGCTGGGATCACTGGCCTTTTGGCTTTACCCAGAAGCGGAAGTGAGGAAGAACCAAGGAACCAGTTTAGCGTACGGAAAGAAGAAAATGCAATTAGAAAGTTCATTGCCTTCTTCATCCCACCAATAATTTGATATTCTATACTCAAATGGTTTAGTGCCTTTTCTTTTAGTCTGAATATATGGTGCCTTTTGTACTCAAACGTATAATAAGCTATTGGTTCTTTTACAAATCAAGAAAAGCATATAAATTTAGAGCTAGTGGCCAACTGAAAAATACTACTCTGGAAGGGAAAGAAAACGAAAACACCTGCGTTTGAGATGCTTCCCAAACTTTTTTTTTTCTCCTTGATTTTTCTATTTTTTTAACGTATAAGATTCCACGACTTTTTGATCATGCTCATGAGGGACCAGGGGATTGCTTGACATACGGTACGAAACAAAAGGAAAAGCGTTGCTTTATATTATGCTATATATGAATGACAAGATACGAACAGAAAAAAGCCTACAGAAATCCAAGATAAAAGGACATATTACTAATATTACTGTTCAAGAAATCTACCAGCTGTGGAGCGTGGACTACATTCTTTCGTCCAGAAAAACCAAAGGTTCACTAAGTTGGCTGTTGGGTTCATAATATACAAAACGAGAATAATTTACATAGCATGAGTATACTGCTACATGGCTTCTCATGTTAATAAAATCAAAACATGTGGGCAAAAACTTACACATATCTTTATTTTATTAGCATAGAACGTCACTATAACAGTGTATTCGAATCATGTAAGTCCTCCTACAAAATTGATAAATTGATCTTCAAACTCAAGTTTTGATAAATTTTTTTATTATATTCCTTGAGTGAGTTTCATTTTTTTAAATGTGGGTCTGGTTGTGAAGATCAATTTTGTGGGATAGTAGTCAATAGAATTTTCCTTTTTTCGGTAAAGAAAGAATAGTAAGCCATAGGCCTCGTCTTTCTTCACTTTTTTGGTTCATCGAAAACACTTTGAATATCCAGAACTTGAATGCTTTAACACTATGTTGGATGACAAAATTTAAGAAATTTATATTTGAAAATTTGTAATTTTTTTGTTGACTAACCTAAAAGAAAAAGAAAATTCAAATACTAAATTTAATGTGTATTTAAAGTCAACAATATATATGTGAAAGATAATAATTAGGAAATATACTAGTGGAGGTGGTTGGTGGTGGCGGTGATGATGGTGGGTGGTGGTGGTTGTCGTGATGGTAGTGGCGGTGATGATAATATGTGGTGGTGGTGACGATGACAGAGATGATGGTGGTTGGTGGCAGTGGTGGGTTGTAGTGGCGGCAATGGTGATGATGGTGGTTGGCGGTAGTGTCGACAATGATGGCAATAGTGATGATAGGTGGTGTGGCGGTGGCGGTAATGATGGTAGATGGTGATGGCAACAGTGGTGATGGTGATGATGACGACATTGATGATGGTGGCGGAGGTGATGATCATGGGTGATTGCAGTGGAGAAGGTGATCATGATGGTAAGCGGTGGTGGCGATGACGGTGTGTGATGGCGACCGTGGCAACGATGATGAATATGGGTTGTGGTGGCGGCAATAACAATGGTAGGCAGTGGTGGTGGTGATGGGTGCAACTTGAGTTGGGCCAACCCGGAACTCGCGCATATCCAACCAGACTTTAAACATGATTGGGTGAGTTTTTCTTAGTCATATAATCCGTCCCAACCCAACCTGGCCATTTATTGAGTTGAGTTGGGTTGATCTTTTTATCTACCCATACCTAACCCAACCTAATTGATCAATCTACCTGATTCTAGCTCAAATCAAACTTATGCACATATTACACCAAGTCCAATATCCAACAACCAACAGCCAGCAGCCTTCCTATTATTATTTAAGCTATATATGAATTAAGGATTTTTATGAGTCGGTCCAAATTTGTAGTCTCAAGCCTTATGCGTCACTAACTTTATTCTTATTTTTAATTATAATCGTTATTTCAGCCACAATCAATATTGTAAATTCAAGAAATAAGATGGTTGCTAAAGAATAAGTACAACCTGTGAGGATTGAAACCGCTCAGGGTTCCAATATTTATGGTCAAAATGGATGATGGATGATGGAATAAGGGTATTGCCACGGTTGCTTCTTGGTGCTGCCAATGCCATGGCGTCTGGTGATCATACTTTTCATTTCTTCACACAATTTTTCCAATTCTAAAGTTTGACGACTCGAACTCAACACATATAAACTCGAATCCAATTAAATTCAAATTCGATGAACCTGAGTGAAATCAAACTCGGATTTGGAATCAAACTCGAATCCAAATCCGAGTTATGATGGTTGGGTTAGGATTGAATTAACCTTTCAATCTGCCCAAGTGATGTTAATACTCACCATCCTATTTATCACCGTTAGATGTATTTGAATTTTGAGATTTGTGTCTATCCACTACACGAATCTCAAAATTCAAACTCATATAACTGTAATAAATAGGGTGGTAAGCATACACCATAATTTATGGTGAAGAGCAAAAATGCTCCCCTTTTTCCCCTATTTTTACACATACTTGAATTGAACAAATAAAAAAAATTAGGAGATGAAAATAAAATAACGAGAGTATGCAAATGAGAAAATGGGTTTGCGTAATCATTTCTTTTTCAAATTTCGTTTGAAGTTTTTAATAGCTCCAGGATTTTTCAGATAAAGGCAAATAGTACTATTTCAATTTGAGCAATCACATCATTTATACATAACAAACTTCTTCATGGGGTGCTTACACTTGCCACAAACTATCACTCCTTCACCTTGTTCTTTACTAGGGTGAGTAAAATCATGACCACAAGGCCTAGGAAGAATAGGTGGTGCAAGGGCATGTCTAAGTGCACCAAAAAATCCTAACTCAGCCAAATTTCCTCCCCAACTAGGAAACAAGTCTAAGCATTCCATGATCTTTGGTCCTTCAAGTCTTATTATATCAATCGAATTAGATCCTCTCCCTATGACTGCCCAATTTTCGTCATTGTTATCGATATCTAGCAATGCTGACACCTCATCTAAAACATTGTCAGTGTAGTTCTCCGGCTTGCCTAGCCGGAGTTTTGATCTTCTTATACTTTCCAACCGAAGCCAGAAGAAATGCGTTTTCATGGAAGGCAGTGCGCTGCTCAATTTTTTATATCTTACATTAGCTAAAATGTCCTTCACAAGCGGGGTTGAGTTCCTCTTGCCAACATACACCATCTCAAGCTGCACTCCTGCGCTTTTAATAATCTCCATCTTAGCAGTGAATTCTACAATCCAATCTATGCTGTTACTTCCATAGATGCAAATATTTCTGCCTTCTTCCACCTGAAAACAATGCAAACTCACGACCTTAAGCACCCGAAAAGAAAATAATGATTACTGAAGTATAAGAGAGGATTCATTTTACAAAGTAAATACTCATACCCGCTTAGTCAGCAGGGGGTCAATTTCATCAATCAAAAAATGCAATGTCCAATTCTGCTCTTGCCAAAGTTCTTTCTCTCTTGATGCTGAAAAAGGATACGCTCTAGCACCCCAGATAAACAGCATGTCAATTGCATTAGGGTTTGTGACTGTTCCCTGCGAATTCAACACAACCAAAACCGGCTCACTTTTGCAGTACCATGCTTCTTTTATGAATGGCACCACTGCTGAGTTAAGAAGCCAGGGTTGCCTTATAGAGTACCAAGGCAAAGAATTTGATAAGTATTCAAAATTTTCCATTTCAGCATTGGTCCAAGTACTGGAAACTGGAATGGGAACCCATACAATTGCATAACTGGCCTCTACATCTTTGTTGTGAGGATGATTATGTGTTTGCTGAACCAGAAAGAGTGACTCCTCTATCGAAAGAAGCTCTGGCCTTGAGATCAAGAGTATGACTACCTTGCTCTTCAGATCAGAGACACCAAGCTGTGAACAAACCCTAGTGAGTTGGTAAAACAGTAGCAACTTATCTCTGTAAAAAGTTTAAATTTAGTTTACACTCTGGCACCCTAGATTTGCAGTTTTGTCGAAATGAAGGCGATCAGGTAATACGCGCTAACAGTAAATAAGTACCAAAGATTAAGTGTAAAATTAGCACAATATTAATGTTTTTATGTGTGATGGAATCTTTGTAATTGGAGTATTTAGAAGATACTTTGTGACACTGATCAGCATGGGATTTTAAACCTGCCTTTGCTTGTGAGGGGCATTGCTTGAGTGGAAAGTCATCTCTAAAGGCAAAAAGCAAGCTAAGCACCTCTTGGTTGTCCACTTGGGTCTCCTTGAAGATATTCAGCAGCTTATGATACAGCTTTGTCTCTGCAAGTTATGCCGAAAGTGTCAAGAATACATACCAATTGCTTCAATATTATGCTCAATGCATGGATCATAAACAAAATAAAAAGTTTTCAAATTCATCCTCTAAACGTCGACTTGTAACCTGTTTGGTGATGGCACACTTCAACCTGCTGTCTGAGGTGATCGTAAATGCTGCGCAGCTGATACGCCAAACTTACGAGCTCCCATGTTGCAATTATGGTTGAATCTGAAATCTTCAATTAGAAACAATTCCTTCACCATTAAATCAATTTATGGAAAATTCATTGGTGGTTAATTACAAATCAGTATTTCAGGTTACTTGAAGGTAATTTGGAACACAAATTAAAGCAGTTTAACAAAAATTCTTATGAACAATACTCAACAGAAGTTCATCATATTTTAATACGCTAATCAAAGGGAAGGAATATGAACCTGGTCAGATTTCAAGGCTGTTGAATCTGTGATTTGAGAAAAGCATTTCAAGATGCCTCGAATGATCCAGTAAACAGCGATATAGATTTGGGACTTTGCAACAGCCTTTGTCTCATCGTCCAACTCCACACGCGAAAGTGGAAGTTTTTCAAACTTGATGATACACTTGGTTACATCCACCATTGCATCAACTAACAAACTCAAGGCGTTAAATTGAGGCTTCAAAGGGCTCACGTCAGTCGGCAATTGCTTAAGCATTGCAACTGATATTGCCAAGGGAATACTAGAGTTTAGCTGCATTAGGAGCCTGAATTCGCCATAACTTGCTACAAAAGATGTAAGCACTAATACCACTTTTTCACCCCATCTATATTTTCCCAGCAAATCAAACAAAATCATTGTCCTTCTGTGTAGGTTTTCTTCATCAGAGCACTTGCAAAGTATCTGCCATTTTAACAAATTGATCGAATTAATGCATCTGCACGAAGATCAATGAGAGAGAGAGAGAGAGAGAGAGAGAGAGAGAGAGAGAGAAGGTGAATTACCTCATGCGAAATCTTACAAAAGGTTTCTGATTTAAATATTCCGAGAGCTTCTAGTGTTTCGAGTTCTTCTATGTCGCTTACAATAATTTTTTCATTGGCATCAAGGTCTTCATCAAGAACCTGAAAGTAAGTGTTTGATGATATGAAAAGCTTGGAATAGAAGATCATGATGTTACTCACAAGTGCTCGAGAGTTCATAAGTTTTAGAATTACAAAGAAACACAAAAATAAATTCAAATGTATAGGAACAATCTTACGTAGATAAGCAGCATTTCCTATACCATTTATATTTTGCGTTGAAAAAGGGAAAAAAAAATGCTAAAGTGACATGTGTTAGAAATGAGCAATTACTTCGGATGCAGCCGTGCAAATCATGATTTTCTCCACTGCACAAAGCAAGAGCTCAGAATCAAAATGGCAACCGTCAGGATCATGGCTAAGAAGTAGCTTCTTGATCAGGACTTCTTCTGACAAAGATGACACAGAGTCACTTCCGAGCGAGTCCATGGTGAAAGTTGTAGTGAACCAACGGACCAGCAGTGCATGAGTAAACTACTGTGAGCTCATCCGATTTATGCAAACACATAAAACCAGGGAATGCACCAACTTAATTTTGCAGGACAAAAACAATTCAGTTTCTCACACTGTTTGTTTGTAGAGAGTGCTTTTTAAAAAGGTTGCTGTTTACGATATTTTGAGTACACCAGAATCAAATTCAAAGCCTTCTCCTTTTGCACTTTGTTCTTAATTAGTAATCTCGAAGAGGCGATTAATATGGAATACGACGCAAAGTGGATCATCAGAACAGTAAGAAATGTGTTTATTAGTAAAGTACTGGCTGTATGGAAGTAGCATCTTAGAAAGCACAGTTAAAAGGGTCTTCAGCCATCCGTCTCTTCTAGTTTTTTGGTACTGAGGGAGTGAGAAACAAGCACACTCAAAAGGAAAAGTAGAACAGAACCATCTGATACCAAAAAATGTAATAATAATCTTATGGCTCTTAGAAACGAAACACCTTGTTGCAATTTGTGACTTGTAAATGTAACAATGTGGACTCTTCTGATCAATTACTTGTGGAGTAGAAAACCACATTATCGATGACGTATCAAAAATAATATCGACTGCGTATCAACAATGGTAAGGTAGAAAGTAGTAAAAATATCGAAAATATCAACGACATATCTATATTTAAAAAAAATATAGTTAACCATAGCGTAAAAGAAAACTTCTTGTAATTTTGGGACTGGGGACCTAAAAATCGAGCAAACCCCATCACTAAGAAATCCAAAGATGAGATTTTGTTTGATTTTCTAGCCTTTTAGATAAAACTATGTGGTGGGGTTCATCTGTATCTTCTTACAAAAGATGAGAGATCTCTCTCGTCTTTTCTTTTCTTTTTTTTTCAACAAAGGAACATTCGAGCTTGGTAATAAGGACCTTTACAACTAAAAGGTAGTTGTGATATAACTCATCAGAACAATCAGAATTATATCCGGCTCTTGTCTGCCGAACTGCTTCGCAAGTCTGCGGTGGATTGTGCCGATCACTTAGAAAAGGTTCGGTGTATTTTAACTCCCATCTTATTGAAATGTGTGATTTGTCAATCAAACAATATTGACACTATGAATTCTGAACAATTATTTCTGCAGTGAAAAGGCTGTGCTTTTATTACGTCATTTTTTTAGTGCAGTTAATCAACTGTACTTTTTATTGACGATATATTGACAATCATATCAATAATCAAATCAAAATATCAATAATGTCAATAAAATCGACCACATATCAAGTTAACCACATTATACAACAATCCGATTTTCATTACCTCGGAGCTTGGATCATATACTCTGGCAGATTAGTAGTGATTTTCATGTTAAACCAGGGACCGAAACTCGTCCATATCCTGATGTTCAATGCTGGAGGCCGTTTTACCCATCACAAACAAATTACAAATCTAATAAGGAGACTTTGTTCTGTCTTTGACATAAAAACTCTTTGGTATGGCTCACTTGTATCGTCTTACAAAAGATGAAAGATTCTCGCCCTTTTTTCTTCTTTTAGTCAACAAGCATAGGGAGCGTCAGTTTTTTTAGTACAAGGGAGAGTATACAGCGATTTATTCAAGTCTACCACTAAACTTCAGTAATCTGACTTCTTGTTAAATAATTTTTTTTTGTTGAACAAACGATATTAACATTAATGAATTCTCGTCTACCACTAAACTCTAGTAATCTGACTTATTGTTAAATATTTTTTTTTTAGTTGAACAAACGATATTAACATTAATGATTCAAATTCATCTTTGGCGTGAATCGAACTTAAGACCCATCACTTACAAATGAAGAGGAATACACTAAACCGTAGTACTAAGTGACTGTTAAAGTTTAGTCTTGAATGCCAACCACAACACATTTGGATTAGTAACATACATTTTCATACAAAAATATCTTTGATATTGGGCCCAATAAACATTTATAGGGTTATCTGCCCACTAATAAGTGGCCCAAGCATACTTAATTTACAGCCCAAATTCTGAATTTTTTTACAAACGATATTATCTGTACCAAGAAGGAAATGAAGTGGGTTAAGCCTCACTAGACTAGCAATATAGTTCAAATTCGCCTTTAACAATAATCGAACATAAGATCACTGGCAATTCTAATTTTAGATGTTACAACTTTAAATTACCAGCCAAAATGACGTATCGTAGATCTTTGGCGAAATACAAATTAGTTTGGAGATTCAAATTTAAATGGCAGTATGGTAGAGTTAGATGGAAAATTTAGTATCGTTACTGTGGGAAAGATCCACGGCACCATATTTTAGACACCAACTAGAAAGTTCTACCCGCGCGTTGTTGCAGGATTAATAAAATGGTAAGAAGGTTTATGTTTCAAAGATGTAAAGTCTATGCCATAAAAGATTTAAACCATTTACATATGAAAATCTACGCAACAGACACCAAAAATTGCAGAATTATTATTAATTGACAAAATACGACAAATGTTGTTTACTGCATCGCTCAAAGTTTTTCTCCAATACTGTTGATTGATAAGAAGGCACCCTAGGCAAGGAAATAAAATATTGTAACACATGTAATAAATTTATATGACAATGGAATTATACTGTAAAGAAGTAAGAATATAGTATGGTTACCTTTTTCAGCAATTTCAAATGTATATTAGATAAAAGCTGGATGAAAAATAGGAGAACACACTGTTTGGTAGGGTGTAAACAGAAAGTTATATACCCGTCGATCAATTGGGATGGCAAAAGTTGTATAGCTGAAGTTGCAATGTAAGCGTTCTATATCACTGCGAATGTGCATCATTCATTTCTTAGTTTCTTTTAGTTCAAACCTAAACCAAAGAAAACAAACAAAATATTAATTACAGTTTATCATATGTCTTTGCAATTTAACTTCTAACATGACTAAATATAATCTGAAGGCAATAAAGCTTGAGCCTAATTCTATCAGCCAAAAGGGAGGAACACTAAATTTTACCACGAAGTCCCAAGAGGTTTGATAAAAAAATCCCAAAACAGAAACTATAATTTGAAAACTGTGCATAGATGGTCAATTGTGTTCAAATGTCTTAATAAAGTACATCCACCAAATTGGAAATATCCAGTTCTGAAAAATGAAGCTAATTCCTTTATAATAACAAAATGTTAGTCAAAATACCACAATGTGAACAAATATATCATAAAGAACAAATAGAAAAACGATACTTACCAATATCGACATATGGATTTCTTCGAAAGAATGTTACATGCAGTGTTATTATCTCAATGGATTGGTCTGCGATAAGAAGAGTAACTATTTAGAAAGCAGTATCATTGCTACTTGCTAGTCTTCCTACATGATTTAAGAATATAATTAATTAAATAGATATGGGATCACATTGACCATAAATTATTACATGCAACTCTAAAAAAAAAATGAGAATAGTCGTCGGAAAAATAGAAAACCCTTGCCGGGAAGTAACTGTTACGCAATTAGATCTCTTTTAATAATTGCAAATTTAAATCTTTTTCTTGATCGGTAAGATGTCATAAATACAATGTTCCACAGTTCATTACATTTTCATTTCTAGCCATCAGAACCTGAAACACATAACTAATGAGTGGTATAGAAACTTACCACAACATTGTCAAAAGAGAATATAAGACCATAAGCTTCATCTAGTTTGATGACATATCGTATTCGTTTAAGAAAATCTTGTTGCAGTTTGTCTTCCAAAAAATCCTACTCACAGTAAAAATTAACAGTAGTTAGTCATAGCATAATCAGTAAATTAATTTCGACAGAGCATATAAAACAATCACTACCATACATATAACTCCATAAATTACACCACATCAACCTTGAGAGGTCCAACATGTCCAAAACTCTCAAAACCTTCTCCATATTCAGCTCCAATCGCCTGAACATAAATTCATCAAAATTTCCTACCCAAGGATAAGTTAAAAATGGAAAGTATTTTCACTGGCGAATATATGCATAGTATTAGTTACTATGTTGAACTGTTGGTAACAAGGAAAATACTCTTCCTTTCTCTTACCCACCAAAACAAAGAAAGCACTATAAAAATCTCAGAGAAATTCTTTGCAAGATTATCGAAATTACAAAAGTGGTAAACCAGCAAGTCATGTTTTGGATCAATGTTGGACCACATTTGTTTCACTTTAACTGTCATAATTACAACCTCAAGATTAGATTCTAAATTCCACAATTAGATGAGCAATGCTTCATGATTCCGCATGATTATTGACATTTGCAATTCACACAACCTTAAATTTTAAAAGAACTCACAAAAGAAACAGAACTTAAAGTATCCCTCTCTTTTTACCTTCTAAAAAATGTGTCTCAGGGAAGCTTTGTTAAGAGGCTTAGCTTTCTAGTGTTTACAATCCACGAAATAAAAAATAAATAGAAAAGAGCCTCTATAACCAATATATGCATGATGGTATTTTTCATTAGAAAAATTAGTTATTGATTAAAAATTGGGTAGTTTAATTCTAATTACCTCTTAAGTCCTAGTTTTAGCTTTCCTTATTTAATGGCTTTTAAGGCTGAAAGTTTGAGAGCCACTGCAAATAAAAGACCAAAAGAAATTTAAATTCATAAAAATTAATAAAACCCCAAAAGAGAAAACTGAGTTTGAAGTATTTGCTGAACTTACAACACATAAAAGATCTGTTTTTGTAACATATTTAGTTTCTTGGGTGCAAATTTTGGAACAATAATCATTGATAAAAAAAAAGGTCGTACCCAGTGCACAAGGCTCCCGCTTTACGCAGGGTCTGGGAGAGGTGAATGTCGGCTAGCCTTACCCCCATTTTGGAACAATAATCATTGATACATGAAAAAAATGTCGGAAAAATACGTTGAAAAGAAGATGAGTTGTTCATATTATTTGATTTGATATAGTTTGGTAATACTCACTGGTCCACTTTGATGCTAGAGAGTGGTTGGCCATATGGCTTGAACAACAGAACATATGCGCTTTTGTGTAAATACAATACCAAAACAAAAAATGAACAAAAATTCTATCAAAATTAACATCTCTTATTCCATACAATATATACAGTATATATGAGTAAATTGCTTACGGGTCTGGCTTCAATATAACCCCACTCCTCTTCATCCATCTAGAATCCCTGCAGCTGCTACTGTTGTAGTTCCTGTAGCTGCTACTGCTATTTTGAAATTGACTACCTTAGATAGTTTATTTCACATTCTTACACACATGACAAACCAAAAAACATTCAAAACATATCAATAATCTAAAAAAAGGCCAATTTAATACCTTTTCTCAAACAGGTGGTAAGCACTGATAACAGAAAAAACAGATGAACAACCACTATGAAAAATACACCCAAAGAGTTAGTGAAATTAGATATAGAGCATGCAATCATTCATAAAATATCATGCACAAATAAAGGAAAACTTAACAACTCACCCTCACCGAAATCAATCAAACACTATAAATCTGCAATTAACAAAACAAACAGTAAAAATTCATAAAATCAATCTTCTCCAAATCAAGCTGCAGATCAAAATTCCTTTATATAGGCATCAACAGCCAAAAAATTCCAATATTACTAATTTCTCCTTTAAAAAGGGAAAAATATGAAGGAAAAAAAATGAATTTGATGAAGCTCACCATCAGATCTATCTAGAACTTTTCTTCTCGGTGGTTATCAACCTCTGGGATTGTTGAATTCCTGGAAGAAAAAAAAACCCATGAACAGAAAATTAGAAAAAATTTAAAAAATTTAAAAAATTGAAGGTTTTTTATTTTTATTTTTATTTTTTATACTGAAGAACAAAAAAAAATAATCAATCTTTGATGCTCACGATTTGGTCAGCGTGATTCCTTCACGTTTTGGGACAGAGAGGGATAAAATAATAATTAAAAAATTAATGACGGGACAAACAAATTATTTAAAAAATGGGAGTTATATTAGGCCACATGGTTTGTGGCACAGCAAACACTAAAAAAATTATAAAAAACAAAACACAGAAACTGACACGTCCCGATCTCGATATTTCCCAAATTGTCAGGGGAAAATCACCCTCAGGCTCCGTGTCAACTCCCCGTCCCGGGGCTAATTGACAAAGGAAAAACCCTTCAGGCCCTATGCCAACACCATAACCGTCGCCCGGGACGGAATCTATCCCTCGTCCCGTAGCAGAATAGGGACCACTAGGTAAGTACAAAACCATTGAACATACATTTATTTGAAAGGCAACTTCATAGTATAAAGTCATCCATCATCTATACTAAGAAGTGTTCGAAATATGTTCTAAATATTATATCATCATCCATCAAATATCCTATAAAGAACATGGATTATAAGAAAAATAGTAATAATTCAAACTAGCCTCAATAAGCATGTTATCTCATAAAACGTAATCATTAAATCGTGTGTGCATTTCTACTGTTAAAACATGCATTTTTAGAAGGGGTCCGCTCACAGATATTTAGCCGCAAAAAAGCCAAGCAAACTAGCGAACACGGAATCATCATAAATAATTACCCCTAAGCACATAAAGGGTCTAATTAATAAAATTATATTATAACAATTGCATTTGGGAAAACAGACGTCAAAAACAGATTCAAGACGTCGAATTATCTTAAGAAAGGTCCCCGATAAATTTCGTAAAAGTCAACAGAAAAAATATTCTAGAGAATATCTCCAACGGAATATTCCCCATAAAAGGGTTTGGGCCGGTTAAGGTTTAGGGTTTTGAAAGATTAAAGAGTTTAGTGGTTAAGGCCCTAGGTTAAAAGGGTTTGGGTTAGGTTTTTAAAAGGGTTGGGCCTAAAGGGTTCTTGGGCTAGGTTAAGGCTTAAAGGGTTTTGGGTTTCTGGGTTAATGTGTTAGGGAGTTGGGTTGATAAAATGGCCTAGGTTAAATAGTTGGGTTTGGGCTTAAAAGGGTCACGGGTTGGGCTGGAGGCCCGTGGGTTTTGGGCTAGTTTCAAAGGACTTGGGTCGGGTTGACCCATTTTCAGGCTTATGAATTGGCCGGTTTCTGGGTATCATTTTAAATGCTCATAACTTCTTGGTTACTCATCCAAATCAAGTGATCTAAACATGAAAGTTGTAGTACTCGACGAGGTGAAGAGATTGATACCCTGCAGGCCAGCCAACTCATCGTAGTTTGGCCGGAAAACGTCTCGAAAGGGGGCGGTGGTTGTTGGAAAATGGGGTTTTTGGCTGAAAGTTTGGAGAATTTTCAAAGCTTCGTAACTTCTTTGATACGTAACCAAATTGAGTGATTCAAAAGCAAAAATGTAGCTAGGAATGTGGATAAGAGATTCATACCAAGTGGAGACCGAGGGGTGGCCGAAGTTGGTGGGAAAATGGCTTGAAAAATGCCCAAATGACCACGGCCTGGAATTTCTAGATTTCTGGAAAATGCCCCTCGAGTTGTTTTTCGTGCTAAAACCTTCACCAAAGCCATTTTAATCACCAAGCAAGTAATGTAGACTATGAGGAAGGAAGATCAAAAGAGTCTCGAAGCTTACCTACGTCGAAAAATCCTCGAAAGTCATAGGAGTTCGTCGGGTGATTAAGCATCGTGACTGCCACGGTAGAGCACTCCCTTAGCTTTGGGTTTTCAAGATCACTGTCCAAGTGTGGTGGTGATGGTTGTTGTGTGCGTATGTGTGTTTTCGGGGAAGAGGGAAGGAGAGAGTTACAGGGAGTCAAGAGGGAGAGATAAGGGAGACTGAGGGAGAAGAAAGAGATAGACCGGGGGACACAAATCAGGGGATGGGCCCTTTAGTACTGGTTTGGTAATGAGGTTCTTTTATAAAAAAATGGGTATAAAAAAAAGCTGAGCTCAAAAAGGTGTTTGGTAAACACTTAAAAACAACTTATTTTCACAGTTTTGGATGGACAAAAAAATAAACTGAAAATATGAAGTAGAAAAAATGAGCTTATTCTCACAGTAGAGCAGAATCAGTTTTTTTTCAAAGCACATCAATACTAAACCAGCCCTTAGGCTCACCAATTAAGACCCAAAAACCAATTTTAAAAGAAAAAGATCTAGCCCAAGTTGAAATTTCACGAAAATGCCCCCTTCGTTATGATAAAATCGGGACAGGTTGTTACATAAACAGAGAGGAAGAAAAGGGAAAAGCAACGGAAGAAAATGGAAAAGCCTTCGAGCACCTTCCCCACCAAAAACGACGCACACGGGGAGAGCACGTGCGAAAAACCCCAAAACGCATGTGGCATGGGCAAAATCGCCAATTCATGTAGCATCTTGAAGAAGCCAAAAAACTGTGCGTTAGATTAGGGGCATAACCGGCAGGGCACTGTTAATGAACAGTGTTTTTCCCACCGACTTTTAGTATAGGTATATAATTTGGTCCTAACTCTACCCACCTTTATCATTGATGACGTGTTTCCGTGTTCGAAAACAAAATAAAAAGTCGGAGTGTGATTTCGATTATGGGTTATTCGTGTTTACTAAAAGAGTAATGTTAGGGAAATTAAATTTTGTAAATCAAATGATGCGGTTATTGATAATTGGATTATTGCGGTTGATTAACATGCTTATTTATTGTTAGTAACACATCATTTAGTTTGCAAATTTTTAAACAAAATGATGTGGTTATTGATAATTGGATGAGTGGGTCCACATGAGGAATTCTTGATTTTAGAGGAATTGGACTAGTGAGGGGAGGTGTCATTTGAATTCTTGATTTTGATCCCATTTGGGCATCTGAAACTTGAAAGCCATATTTTAAAACTCAAAATTCACCACACATTGCCTTAGCTCTATTAATTTCTTATGTGGTTTGATTTGGGTGCGCCAGACTAATCAATTTTTTTTTCTTCTCTTCAATTTCTTTTAAACTTAATAATCGCTGATTGTTAAATGTTAACGCATAAATATTTTATAATCAAATCTATTGCATATATGGCATAGTCTTATTGGACGTTGGGTCTCATATATGTTTTCGGATGCAACTTACAAGTTTTAGAGAAAAGAGAGAGTCAACATATCAAAGTGGACGAATTTTGAGTTTCAGGAAATAAGACGAATGTTGAGTTACAGGGAACAAAGTGATATCAAAAATCAAAATGGAGTTTTAGGGGCTATTTTCCATTCACTTTTATTGGAATTTTAACGACATACTTACCCATCTAGAAAAAGACTTTCTAGTTTTCTGGAGATATGGGTTGAATAATTTGGGGATTTTTGGTTTTTCAAGAAGCTATTTGTTTGCATTTGAAACTGAGTTGGAAGAAACAGATCCCTCTCATTTTCACTTTCTTCCCAAATTCGACTACGAGTTCTCCGTCTCTTGCCAGGCGCATTGTCGCCTAATTTGCATTAGCTTATGTGGCTTCACCAACGGGGGCTGAGGTTAGCACAGTGCCGTGCCCCTTTTGGTTGTGCATTCACCAGGCATATCAGGGCTCCCAAACGAGGAAAGCTGATGTAACGGGCCCAACCACCGACTCGTTGGCCACCTAGGTTCTGTTGGTCTCCGCCGGTGGAATATCTGCCATCTCTGTCTCATGATCGTTTTGACTCGAACCGGACGCAAAGCAACAACCGCTGGTGATCTACCGGGGTGACATTTGTGTAAAAATAATCACAATAAAGAAACACTAATTTACAAAATATTTAAATTAATTCTAATAAATCACTGAATTTTTTAAAATTTTGTTAAATGCCATTATTTAAAAAAAAAAGCCACAAAAAAATTATAAAATTATGATATTCCTAAAAAATAAATAATTCCTAAAATTTCTAATATTTCCTAAAAATTTCTAATCTAACATTATCTCATAAATTTCTACAAAATTAAAAAAAAAATATTCTAAAAATTCTATGATTCCTAAAAAATAAATAATTCCTATAACATTTTCATATTTCTAAAAATTTTCTTAAATTTTCTAATATATAAAATATTTCCTAAAAAAAATTAATTGTTAAAAAATTTCCTAAAAATTTCTAATGTGACATTATATAAAAAAAAATTACAAAACATTTCCTAACCAGTTTGTCGAGGAAAGATTATACAGTAATATCTGCCTAGTTTAATTTTTTGGTGACATAAAATGGTGGGAAAATACCTTTGCCCAACAAATTTTACATTGTTTCGTTAGGCAAACCCTTTAATCTAGAGGAAAATTTGATGTTTTTGGAAAAAAAAAAAGTGAGAGAAATTTGAAAGTTTGCCCGTCAAATTTATAAATATGGCTTGACGAAATGTGTAAGTTGGCCGAACGAAATTTACCAATTTTGCCTTGCAAGGACTAAAAACTCAAAATTTCCCTAATCATTTATTTATTTTCAAACCATTAAAAGATCATCGAATTTGATGATCATGTCGATTCAGTGTATGATTTTACCCTCGATTAAAGTCCTTGCAAAAAATTATCAAAATTAAAAGTGATATATCCGTTAAATCGTGATGATACGTTTGTAACCATCGAACCTTTCATCATGTTACCTAATCCTTGAAAGTTTGTTTTTGGTAAATTTTGGCATATGCGATATCATACTATATTCAAACAAGTTTGACGGTTGGATCGTTGAAATTAGTTTCGTAGACTTCCTATACCGTCAAAACAATAGATTCAACAAACTCTTAGAGTTCATTCTATGGTTCTATTAAGTAGAATGTAAGATTTTGTAGTAATGTCACAGCCCGTCCCGAAATTTATTTATCGTGGATGTGAAATGACGGAATTGCCCTTAAAGGCTATTAAGGTACGTGTGACATGTTATTTGAATAAATGTATACTTTCCTAAGTTCTTGGAAAATTTAATTAAGTAGATTAAATGGTATGAAATTGTGTGGTTAGGGACCTAAAGGAATTGGATTGTGATTGTTTTGGGTGGACCACACACAC